GACATTGTCGTTCAGTTTTTCCGACATAACTATCATTACAATCACCACATTTTGCTGCATAGACAACGTCTGACTGAAGATGTTTCGGTATTTTGTCTTTCAGTTGAAAGAATGTTTGAGACGACTGCGGTGTTTTCGAATAAAAACATAGATCAGTATCAGGTCGAATTTTATTCGCAAACGCCGTCAGTTTTCGTTTTAGACCATCCGTACTCCTACCGACATATGGAAGCTCAAAAAACATTTTCTTTTTCACTGGTTCTGTCACTGTGTTTATTCTTTTATCATTGTCCTTCCCGAGCCATTTAGTCAGACCAATACCAATACGTATGTCCACAAATGTCGAAGGATAGCCATTTCGTTTAGTAATCTGTCGAATATTTTCAAACTCTTTAGCCAGTAGAGAATAACTAGAGCAAATCGATAATGCTCTCTGAACCATGCTAACAACTGCCGCTTTTTTATACTCAATCGGAACGAACGATGACCAATTAATCATGAGACCTGTGAATGTGTTTTTTCGAAAGACTGTTGTTTCAAATTTTGTATGATCGTTAGTTCGTATCACATTCACGTCTAAAAATGGCAATTGATCATTCTGCTCAATTTCATAAGTGAACTTAATACTAGGATGAAATTTGTTTAGAATAATGATGATATTTTGTATTTCTGTGTTTTGTTCAATGAGAACAAACGTGTCATCCACGTATCTTAACCATAACCGTACACCGGCTTGTTCAAGTTGATTCATTAGTGTTTTCTCCAGGTGAGACATAAAAATATCTGCAATAATAGGCGCAAGAGGAGAGCCCATCGCCACTCCATTGTGTTGGATATACATTTTACTGTCAAACAGCAAATGCGTTTCAGATGTTGCTGCTCGTAGCAGAGTCTCAAAATCTGCACGATCTCTACACATCTTACATTGTTTCGTTTTCAGCTTCTCCTGACAAGTTTCTGTACATTTTGGATACATTTCATCGAGTATCAACTCAATTGTATAAACAAGAGGAACTTTCGTGAAAAGTGACGCGACATCAAACGAAATCATTTGTTTTTTCGTATCTTCCGAATTCAACTTCGAAATCCTTTTGACAAAGTCAAAAGTGTCCAGAATGACGAACGGACTATTTCGAAGAGGAGCCAGTCGTGCTGATAGTACTTTGGCGAGTCTATACGAGCTCGTTTTTGTAGCAGATAAAATCGGTCTAAGAGGTGTGTTAGGCTTGTGTATTTTAGGCAGACCATAGATTCTTGCTGGCCTAGATCCTGTCGGACGAGCACTCTCATATTCTTGATTTGTAATAAAATTCTCTTTTTTGAGCCTCAATTGTATAACAAAATTCTTTTCTTTCTATTTTGTGGTCTAGGAAAGAAAGGTCAGATAGTAAAAAGGAAAATACTTGAAGAGAGAAATTCGTACAGTATATAAATATAAATTATACCATTCAGTTTAAAAGAAAATCTTCTGTTTTTCTGTATATATCCTTGACAATGATTTTTTAATAAATCGAAACGTTGGAAATTCAAAATGATTAAAACCGCTGCTTTGGTTATACTTTTCTTAATGACAAATTTTTGCTAACCACACTGCCAAAATGACGGCTGATATGTAAGGATACATGATAAAAACTGTCAGTATAGATAAAATTAATGCACACCATTTCATAAGTTTTGCTCGCTCATCAAGCATTTTTGTATTTTGTGAAGATGAGTGAATATGACCGTCACTGACCAAGCTTAATACGGTTTCGTCCTTGTTAAACTTTTTCGATGCATTCGATACTATATCGTTCATTTTTTGAAAATAGTCTGATGGAATCGATCATATCGAATTAATAGAACGAGGGACTAGGCATTGTTCTTTGTGAAACGATCAAACGCTGTATAAAAAAGTATATTTCTAAAAGGTTGTGAAAGTTATATGAAACAGATTGGGGTTCATCCTTCTTTTTAATGATCTATTTGTCTGGGAAAACTTTCATGATAAATCCTCGAAGTGTGGTTACTTTTTCTGTATGAAAACGGTTAAAAAATGCTACGTAAGCGCGAATCTTCCCTCGTAAACTGGTTAGAATTTATTTGTTAAAACTGTGGTAAGGTACGTTTTTTTATTGTTTATTATTTTACTTGTTTATTCCTTTTTTCCGTGTTTTGTATACTTGGTCTTTTATCAGTAATATAACTGATTTGTTGTTATAAGTTGTTCAGTCTTTTCTTTTTTTGTAATTGTTCTTCGTATACTCTCTTATTTTTGCAAGCGCTCCCCAGCGTGGTCAATAAAGTCTCGCATAATCCCCAAAAAAAGAGTAATCATCTCTCACTATTCAATTTCAGAGACTTAAAGTATTTAAAGGAATAAACTAATTTGACTAATATACTTTCTTTTTATTGAAAATTCTGACGTAAGTTTGATGTGATATCATATATAACGTGAATGGTGTTTGATTAAGGTTTTATTCAATAGTCGATTAATAAACTAACTACTAGGTCTAACTAACTAGCTCATTTGATTTTTATCTCGTATCAAAATTTAGCTAGTTGCCGAAAGTGAACATAATGGTCGAAAATTCCGGCTTTTAGATAGATAAAAGAGCAAAATGATAAATTCAAAATGGTTTTATTATCTGTATTGTTGTCTCATTTTATCCGTAAGGTGACAAAGCTCTGGAATTTAAAATGTACGGAAAAGACTTGACTTAAATATTTCGAGCCTTACATATTTTTTGGAAAAGGACTAAAGACTCTTAAACGCTTCTTTAGAAAGATGCTCTTACAACATATTTGTCTCCATACACCTGCAGTTTATTAAATTTCCCCTCATAATAGAAGACCCTTCTACAGGAACGATGTGAAATTCACAATAGAAGACCCGGGTCTTGTAATGAATCGTTTGGAACCTCTTTAACTCTTTTTAGATTTACAGCAGCCATATATTAAATTTAAATTTATTTAATAAAAAAGGATGTGACGTCTCAACTCTTCATAGAGTCATTTTCAGAGAAAAATTCATTTTTTCAAAAAATTTCAGTTTTACTTCGTATTTTACTTTCTATTTGAAATATAATCATAGGGAACTGACTTAATCGTATCTTTATAAAATATAGTAACGATATTTGACTCTTTATGCACAGAAATTCGTATTAGAAGACCCCTCGTAATAGAAGATCCCCTAAAAAATTTGTACACTAGAACATAATAGAAGATCATGGATCTTTTATTATGACGGGCGTGTGTGTGTGTGTTAACCGACTATTGAGTAAAACATTAATCAAACATCATTCACATTCTATATGACATCAAATCACCTGTAAAGGAAATTGACCCTTCTCAAGTTTCTTAACTACAACAAAATATGTAATGCTAACTATAATGAGTTTATACAAATGTGAAAATGAACAAAAGCCGTGAACCGTATCAGGAGAGATCAATGATGTACGAAGAGAAGTAGATAAAGAAGCAGTGAAGCGGGAGGAGAAGTCATAAGCTGTACAAGAGAGCGAAATTCTTTATTATGACTTGAGGAAAGGTGAACGTAAGTTCAAGAGCTAGTTAGTTAGACCTAGTAGTTAGTTTATTAATCGACTATTGAATAAAACCTTAATCAAACACCATTCACGTTCTATATGACATCACATCAAACTTACGTCAGAATTTTCAATAAAAAGAAAGTATATTAGTCAAATTAGTTTATTCCTTTAAATACTTTAAGTCTCTGAAATTGAATAGTGAGTGATGATTACTCTTTTCTAGGTGTATAAATAGAATGATTTTCTTTACTTCCATAACTTTATAATTGTAATCAATTTTTCTGTGGTAACAAGAGCATGTCGGTCAATAAATATTCTGTTTTCGTTGTTACATTGTTCTTGGCAATCATTGTACAACACTATGGATCGGAGGGTGCGAACATTCATAAAAAAACTGCTTCGAAAAGCAAAGTATTTTCTATACAGCAATATTTTCCTCTAGTTTTTATCGCAGGTTTTTTTCTCAGTTTGTTTTCTTGTGAACGGGACGGGACGTTCATCTTACAGGAGGGGGAGATGTTATATAAGGATATTCCCTTATTTGAAAAAAAAAATCAGATTTTCTTATATAAGAGGCTACACTGCACCATCTCGTTTCATCATGCATTGCGTCATCACCTTATTTCGTCAGATTTTCATCATCTTCTACCGGTTCTCCAGTACTATAAACAGACTTATGTTCTAGTCAAGAGTCAGATTGTAAGATTTATACTTTTTCTGTGTTTCTTTATCTCATTATTTTCTAATAATAAACTATTTTCATTTAAAACCATATCAAATTCGGTGATACAAATCAAGCAATATCTGTTGATGGCAAAGAACGCTTCAGAAACGTGCACAAGATATAAGTACACGTGCTTTGGGTTTAACGAGAATTGTCCAACTAACTCTGATCAAATTATCAGTGACAATTATAATTGTGACTGTATATGGGCTCCCTCACTATTTAATCGTCAATCATATTTTGCTATGCCTCAGGTGTGACGAAATCAATTCTTTGATCAATGATCCCGCTATCTTTACACTAATAGGCAAGCTTGTGCCAGATTACAGACATATTTGAAAGAGTTTTGTTTTAGGCTCATCAACAATTGTTGGTTTCAAATCAGTTTCGTCCAAAATACTTAGGTTAATATTAATTGGAGCCCTGCTCGCTCTCCATCCCATTTTATATACTGAGCAAAAAGTATTCACATACCAAATGGTTAAACTATGTACGTACGTATTCCAGTCATGTTTTCAGTTAGAAATTTCATCAGTCCTGAAATGCCAACATGCCTTATAATTGGTTTCATTTTTAATGTTCCCGTCAGAAGATGGTGGTGGGACCTAGTCCGCTTTGAGGTGATCTCACGAGAATTCAGAGTTTTCCCACTATTATTCAGTTCATCATTTCAAATTTGGGTAAACTGACTCTGTACGTGATTACACTATATATGACTAGTTAGGTCGTTATGCGCTACTCTTCTCGATTAACACGGATATCGGAAATGCCGTCACCGTAATCGTATTAGTTTTTGTAATATGCAGCCGTATGGATTCCTTTGCATCTTTGTGGAGAACGCAAGATCATTGTTTGTTAGACAAGGTTAACTATAATGGATCTTTTATCTTTTAAAAATTGAACTGAATTGAATTATTCGCAGTCTATGAGGCGCATATTTACAAACACTACACTCTAAAAAAAGTGCCCACTTAGGATCAAATTCAGTCTGATTAATATACCTTATTCTGTGAAAATAAGACACATTAATGCGACTTAATTTGATCCTAAGTTGCATTTTCTTTTAGAGTGTATCTCTAAGCGGTGGAACATTCTTGTGAAATGTATGCTGGTGTTGGTTGTGATTTCCACCCATTTTGTTGTCACTCTTTTTTTGTTTAATGATTAGCGTTATAATATATTTATTTTTGATTTCAAGGTCCAACCGCATATAGCAACCAAAAGCCATATAGCATTTCTCAAACACGAAGAATTAGATCGCTGCCGTAATCGCATTTTTCACTGCCGTAATATTCATCGAATCACTTCTGTTACTCTGTGATGATGAGATATTACAACTGTAGCCAATTTCTCGAATCTTTTGTTTGTTGGCTTGAGATCGGATCAATTAGTGAATTAGCCATCTTTTGAAAATAACTACCATTTGAGATTATTGTTCCTAGTTTTTCCAGATTTCTCTTATTCGTTACATTGTTATTTACAATATTATCTCTTTCTATCATATTTTTATTGCTATTACGTTCAATTGTAGAAATACAACATTTCATAAATACAATGATCTAACGTAAAATAAAAAGCCAAGATTTAATATTTTACATATATGACAACAGGAAATTGAATATTGTACATGTAAGAAAAAACACGAGATATATAACTGCTAATGTATAAAATGATGCTAATTAGCGGTGCACCATAGAATAAATAACAGAAAAAGAAAAAGAAAATATAAACTCTTACTGGAAAACTTTCAAGGGGGAAACAGCAGATTTTGTGACTTTTATAATCTGGGCTCCGTTCCACAGGCAATCAATTTTTTTCAAATTTTGTTGTACTCCTGGAGACTACGAAGTTCATGACTTCGCCAAGCCCGAAGAATTTTCCTGACTGTTTTTGACTTTTCCCGCGTTTTTTCCGCTTAGCCCCATTTCAGTCATTTTTACAGATTTTCGAGATTTCGTCGGATTCTAATCCCTTTTCCGATTTTTTCTTGTACTCCCGGGGATTCCTCCAGTTTCTCGAACTTTGGGAAGTTTATATAAGATTCTCCAGGCTTCTGTAGATCTGGGAGTTCACAGCTGCTTGGAATTCCGCTGTTTCCCCCTTGAGAACTTCTCTCTCTGACCCTTTGACTTTGCAAGTAGATTCTTCTAGGTTGCTAGGGCGATTTGCAACAGATTCAACTTTGGAATTAAGTTAAAATCGCCGATTAAAACTTTGGCGGTTTTTATTTGTAGAGAGGAGGGCGGGAACGCTGGTTGGAAAATTACTTACGGAAATTTAAGGACGATTCCCTGAAATTTTTTTATTTTTGTTTGTTCGTAAAAAAAAGTTAAACTTTGTAGAAACTCAATCATTCGCTTTATTTTATTTGTTGATAATACTGAAGGATTTTACAAAGTATTATTTCTGCGAATCAAAGTTATTTTTGAGAAATATGTAATTTTTTTACATAATACACATGTGTATACACGACTTTAGAGAGTAACTTTCTACGGGAGAAAATTATAAAGTTCAATGTTTGTTGTTGGTTTAATGAGCAGATTACAGAGAGACAACGATATAAAATTTCTTCTTTGTTCCATATAATGATTACACAGCGATGAAATCAAACGTAAACAAAACTTGAATACACCTTGATATCACTCCAAACTATTGACTGTAAAATATCATAATAAATCACCGTTTCCCACACGCATAGCCGGCGTATTAATTCCTCGTCTCATTCTACTCATCATACATTCATTTTTAAATTCATCAATATTCACATAACATCCTTCTAAATATCGTTCACCTACATTTTCATTACGTTTTAATTGAAATTTTTCCCTTCCATGCACCATTCTACGATTATTGAATATAATACAATCACCACTTTCCAATGTATGTTTATAGCGTGATGGATGTGTTTCTAAAAATCTTGATAATCGAACGTAAGCTTGATAAAATCGTCTTAGTTGATTCACATCATTTATTCCTTGTATGGGTGCTTCAAACATTGGCGACCAATAAACGGCAACAATTTTTTCCTGTAAATTGATTTTTATTATTGGGCGACTATAATGCAAATGAACGGGTCGCTCACGTTTATAATGAACTTTTTGAAATGTAATGGGTATGTCACATAATAATTGAAAATCTACTGGATAATACGTACGAAAATCTTCACATGCTAACATAACATCTAAGTAAATTTGTTCACCACCCATTATACTCGGATCATTTCTAAGACAATGTAACAATTGCAAACCTAGTGAGTACAAAAGCATTTATTACATGGAACATCAGTCTTTCATTTATAGTCTATTTTATAAAAATTAAAAATTTTTCAGAACAATTAAAATATTTTCTTTCAAATTTCTACCTGGTGGTGATTCATAATAGCATAGATCCTGATGTAAATATAATTTTTCGTTGGAGTATGCGATATTAATTGGATCATTTGTTGTCTTAACAACAAATATATCCCCATATATTGTTTGTTGAACAAATGAAATAAGTTCGGCTATTGTTTTGACATAGTATGGTTTACACGGGACATTTTTAATAATTACAATACCCTGTTCAAATAGTGAATCTAATATTAAATCACGATGATCACTAAACTTTTCATTATAGTTGATCACTTGAGGTTTTAATGAGGTATTATCCGAGATTTTTAGATCAAGATTTTCATTTGACGAGCGATTGAAAGGATTGTAGTTCAGTATATACTCTAATGGAATGCTGGATTCATCAGTTTGTTGAACATCAGAAATTTGTTTTAGAGGTTCTGAGATATTCTTACCTAAAATGAAATAATTTGAGAAACCGTAGTCATTATAACTTCTAATGTAGCTGTGTAGAATTTCATTCCTTTTTAACTTTATTTGTTAAGGATCAAATACTTCGACCTTTACAGTCATTTTCAATGATAGAAAAACTGTACACAAGAAAGAAAGTAACAGAGCTAAGGGTAGACACAGACAAACATTTTCATTTTACTTGACAGAACAAGTCGAGAACTGGACTATATACATTTTCTTTCTTTAAAAAATGTACATGTTCCAAAAAAGTCTTTGATAATACGTGTCCAAGCCCCAGTCTTGAACGGAATAGATCGATCCGTGCCTTTATAAGTCTTTCCAGAGAGTTTGAAAAACAGAAGAAAACAGAAACCATTAGGTGAAAAGAGACGAATTCTACCACACATTAGTCAGTAGTTTTGTTTTTTCATCTTTTTATAATGTTGTCTAGGTACTTCTTAGGACATTTGGATCTTTTAAAAAAGAAAATGTATATAGTCCAGTTCTCGTCTTGCTCTGTCAAAGTAAAATGAAAATGTTTGCTTGTGTCTACCCTTAGCTCTGTTATTTTCATTCTTGTGTACAGTTTTTCTATCATTGACAATTGATCCTTAACAAATAAAGTTAAAAAAGAGTGAAATTCTACACCGTTGCATTAGAAGTTATTAAATTATTGAAAAAATTGTTGCCTACTTCTATTTGTATTATAATTTCTGTTTCTATTGTATGTTAAGAGATGGATAAGAATTTAAAAGAGAACGCAATTAGGTTGAAAAGAGAACATTTCTGATTTTTTGGAGAATGCAATATTTTTTAGATTGAATAGTGAACGTATGAAGAACCCCTTCATGCGTCTATGTTAGCGGCTAACACGGAATTGTTAACCTCTTATATCTCTGACCATTCTACAAGTGTTAACTTAAGACTTGTAGAACGACCAGAGACCATACATATTGATGACTAAACATTACAGTACTAAACAAACTTTACAGTTACAACTTTTATAAATTCATCTGTATCTTTTCTTCTGTAACTTGTACACTTCAGTCTGAAAATTGACAAGAAGAGTGTGGTGCTTTGCTGACGAGGGAACCTCTTCAGGTGCCCATCTTCGATTCATATGTCGATCGATAGAGGATACTGAGCTAGTAAAAAAACCTAAAATGATTTGGGCTCTTGTCGTTTCCTTCAAAAGTTATGGAATTTTTGTCTTTTTTCCTGGGTAATAATCACGAGAGAACTAAAACCTTTACAACTCTCTCAAGTAAAGTAGTTAAGAGCTCAAATGTTTTTCGATGACGTTTCTATACGTTTCTGGTATCTACAAAATGTTTCAACTTTCCAGCTCATAGCGTTCCTGATTTACTGACTTTTTAAGTTTTCCGAAGATTCCCCCTTACGAGGGAATCACTCTAGGTAGTAAATCGCCTATTGATTGAAATCTACTGGGTTATAGGTTATTGACCACACTGATTCCGAATATGGCCATGGGGATTCCTCATAGCCCTTCGGAGAACCGGTTTTCCAGAAACACTAAAAAGTAACCAAAACCTTTCTTAACAAGGCATAGGCATGATTGTAGCCCACAAATTTCTGATTAAAATGAGACATCTGGTAGCTCTACACGATCCTTCTTTGCAAAGTTAGAGAATTTACAAGAAAAGATCTAAATTAATTCTTTCCTCCTTACTTCTGTAGCTTTGAGCTGACAATGAACATTTAGGGCTTTTCTTGTAAATTCTATAACTTTGCAAAGAAAGGTCGTGTAGAGCTGGGAGATGTCTCATTTTAATCAGACATTTGCGAGCTACAATCATGATTCATTAAGAAAGGTTCTAGTTGTATTTTAGAGTTTAAACCGGATCTTTGAGGGCTATGGGGAACCCCATTATCATATTCGGAGTCAACAGGGTAGATAACCTATAACCCACTAGATTTCGATCAAAAAGCGATTTACCACCTCGGATGGTTCTCTCGTTAGACACGCTTACAGTAAAATGGCTATAAAATCGTTCATTCTTCACGAAATTTGTGTAACTTGCAGATCTGAAACGTTTTTTCTGCCTTATTTCTATTTTGAAACCAAAACAAGTGGCTTCAAGCTGATCGTATATTAAAGGATCTCCAGAGATATCTTTACAAAAGAGGAGTTCCAGAACATCAAAATTATATAACTCTAGAGCAGAAACAACAGATAAGCTGAAACTTTCTATGAATATCAAAGACATATGGATAAACCATAGAAAAAATTCTAATTATTAATTTCTTTCTTGAGAGAGTAATAAAAATTTTATTTTTCTCCTGTTTCACTAGGAAAAAAGAAAAAAAATTCTATAACTTTTGAACGAAGCGACAAGAGCCCAAATCCTTTTAGGATTTTTACTAGCTCACTATCCTCTATCCATCGACATATGAATCACTGAAATCAGAGGTGGGCACCAGCCGAGGTTCCCTCGTAAGAAAATTTAGTTTTTTCAGCCTCTTGAGCAAAAATTTTAAAATCTGCGGTTTTCTCAAAATACAAGTCATAGAACGCTAGGACATTGTATTTCAAACTTTCTCTATATTAGGTCATGTTCAAATCAAAGTTAAAAAGTTGTGTCGGACAAGAGGAGGGGGTCGTCTACTATTAGAGTTTGTAGGTTTGACAGGCAAGGTCTAGCATAAAAATCATAAGATAGATCAATAAAAATTAGAAATTCTTAATTCTAATTGAAGCAAGAGCTTACCTGAGTAAACAGGGTTAAGTAGTTCAGGATATTGAGTTAACTCATCATTTGTTAGCGTTGATGAAATATTATTTATTTGCTCAGTATTCCATCTAATTTTTAATACTTCTTTTTCATCAATATAAGCTTGTGCAATACTTAATTGAAAAGGTAAATCTGCCGGTGATTGTAGACGTTGTCCACTTGAAGGCTGAAAGGATGTCAATGATTGACAATTTAAACGTAGCCATGCAACAGGTAATCGAATAAGATCAGATAATGATTTATCTGTAGTAGAAAATGGTGGATGTAAACGATGAATATGAGGCATACGAAATACGAGTTCATGAGGACGAATTTCAACTAATTGAATTTTATCATTAATTGAAGTACTAGATAATATTCGAGATGAGATCTTTATTAAAGTGCTCGCTTGTCGTAGAAAAAGCGCAGTTTTCATAGTCTAAAAATAAAGTTATATATAAATCATATATGTTTAGTGACAATGACATTTGACCTTTACTATAAGTACGTTAATTCGAGTTCAAACAGTGAAACAATACGTCAACTCTAACAAATTTGTTTTAAACTACTAGAAACTATATAGTCTGCATTTTGAAGATATTTACAGAGCAGTATAACTGACCAAAAAAATTAATCCAAAAATTTCCTTTAATCTTATATCGAGTACACATGTACTTTTGAAATGAACTTTATTTTATTTTTAATCTTTTATACTGCTTTTATAACATATTTTTTTCTTTCTTATCAGCTTTTTTTTATTTTTCTCTCGTTACACTTTGACTACTTAAAATTTTTCTTATAGAGTAGATTTATAGTTTATTATTTTGTAATCGATATCTCTTTGTATAAATAGTAGAACATTTCTATATTTACCATCAAAGCAAATTGCTAATCTTCAATTATCTCTCTATTTTATGTAATCATCAATAGTTTTGTTACAAAAACCTAGATAATTCTTATGACATCAAAGACATCTCGTTTACTGTGTTCTTGTATTTGAGCAGAAGAAACATTGATCTATTTGAACATAAATATTTATTTGATTATAAATTTTTATACATATCGAGAACGTACAATTTTAATGTATGAAATACAGGAAAATATCAACTATGCTAATGGAAATACTAAAGAGAAAATAATATTTTCGAAAATTTTAATACAAACGACATTAACTCAACATAAAAAATCAAAACAAAATCTGAGCAAAAACTTTGAAACAAGAAACAGAGGAGAGTTTTTTCCATTCTTAAAATGATTCTGTCTTACTTTATTTAACTTATAATTAGTTTAAAATTTTCTTTCATTAAAGATAGCAGTGTTGCAACGCTATTGTTTATTTGCTAAACGAAAATACGAATATTTTTCTTTATCTTAAGGCTCCCCCGTATCAGAAACCCATCTCAGTCTGGGTAGGTGTGATCTGAACCAAACTTTCAGGGAACGTTGATCATGTCAAAGTATGGTAACGAAATTATTTTTGGCGTTACTTGCAACTGTTCGTAGAAGGGAAGGGCGTTACAACAAGGACCAAAATTAGGCGTCTACCACGTGCAATAATTTTCATTCCATGTAAATGATAGAGAGCTCGGGCAGTTTTTGTTTTGGAGTAAACACCTATGGCTAGGAGTTGACAGAGTCCGATTTTCGAATTTCTCATTTACTGATTTGTGGTGCTTAATAGAACTTCAAAGTCCGAAAAATCCTTGGAAGATTTCATAGAAATCCTCATTTTTATAAAAAATGGAAGCATAATTCAAAAATCGGACTCGGTCAACTCCTACCTATAGGTATTATCCACAAATCAAAAAAAAAAATTTTCTTTCTCCTGTACTGTTCTCATGTACTGTTACCCAAAATTCCTGTGCGTGGCCACAGCACTGAAGCTAAAAAGCAGTCTTAAGAAAAAGGAAGTAAGTTTTGATTCTTTTAAAGGCGTTTTTCTTAAAAACTCTTTGAGCGTTAAATAAGTTGTTGATATTTTGCTATAGGTTATCGGCCAGGGCGGATTTAATGAACATGTGCGACACACATATACGCTTATGCAATACAAGTGCAAAAAAGCTATTTTTTTGCTATGAGGCTTCAGGAAAACTTGCTCAAAACCTATGGAAAAGCTATCCTACCGACACAAAAATTATGCCATTAGAAAGTAGATACTGTGGGCTATCCAACCATGTGCGTTTCTCAAAATCGTTATTTTAGAGGAAAATTATCATTTCTGATCCGGGAGGGGGTGGGGCCTTAATATGAACCAATGGTGTCAAAATCGCCTAACTTTTGCCGAAATGAAGTTTTGATGACTAAAATCTCAAAAAACTAAAAACTCGCGGTTGGCCTGTCATCTTGTTGTCAAATTTTGGAACTTTTGCACTACTTTTAAATAAAATTTTGCTCTCAGTTTGTGGAAAATTGAATTCTCTGTCGCTTGTGACCTTCGAATTGTTAGTCAAATCCTGTTGAGCCAAATTCTGGAGGGCCAAAAGTGGCATTTGCTTGAAAATTTTGACTCTTCAAAATCCCAGTTCTCCAACTGATGTGGATTTTAAACAGTCACTTCCTATTTCAGAAAAATAGATTTGATAGTAGAATCCGAATATAAAATAAAAAGTACATGTCAAATTTCACTCGTGACTTGATTTCTTGATGGGCTGGCGAACCGTCTCTTAATAGGTTTAGAATGCCCACTGGCTACCATCTCCTCTGAATCTTGACAGAATAAAATAAGAGCTACCAGTATGGTAATAGGTCTGACAATACTTCTTCGCGTTCGTAGAAAACGTTCAAGAATGCATTGAATATCTAACTTTGGAAGACGTTTATATTCGGCTGAATGAAATCAAATATTCGTACTTAACTATTTCCTTTATTTAAAGCATGTAAAGTGATGTGTGCCAAGTTTTTAAGACGAAGAATGAAAAATACTTTGATTCTATCGTTTTTTATATAACTATTAGAATGGGACACATACGTTAACAGAAATAGAAAGAAATGTTTGACTTTTGTTATTCTGTTGATAATGATGAATATAGACAGAAATATTAGAAAAAAATCTCACCCTCACATAATTAAAAGTCTATGTGAGTAAACACATTCATACTTCTTTTCTTAAGCCCCAAAGATATCTGGTAGATGCATCGTGTTATCTGGCAGAATCCTTCAAAAAGTGCATTCAGCAATAGCCTTGCGTTGAAGGAACATTCATCGGGAAAAGTAGAGACATTCGCGTAGTTTGAGTTAACTCTTGTGATGGCGCTAACAAGTCACAAAATTATTTTCTAAGAATACCATACGAAGTGATTCTACATACAAATCACCTGTGACAGCTAATTAGAGCACGACTTAGGATAATGTAAATTTACGTGTTGAACCTTGAACAACACGCAATTTCTTTCCAATTTCAGTCTTGATTTAAAGGTTAAAATCAAGAAGAATAAAACTATTGTTAAATATTTTTTATAATATATTAATAAAGAGAAGAATCTCACTGATCAGCTACTTGGGATATTTCTCAAGTAAACTTGAAAAACTAGAAATAAGAAGCTAAACACTAAAATACTGTAGTATCTCAGTGTTTGACTTCTTATCTCTAGTTTTTCTCTTCCTCGTTCTTTCTTCATCCGATTTGTATGCACAGTGGAAAGCAACACATAGCCGGCTATTTTTATCGACAATTGTAGCTTCGGACTAAGCCTAAGAGAACTAAGAGAAATATTAGTGCGAAACCCTAACCCTTACATAATTAAGCGTCTGAATTAACACCAACTCATTCGAATATTACAATGATCCAGCTGTTTTGTTGTCATTTCGCATATTTTAAATTTATAACGGAGTAAGCATTGCCGGTCTCGATCACTTGCAGCAACGTGTTTAAATATTTCTCCATTATTTTCATTTCGTCGCTCTCTTCTAAGTAACATAGTGTTAGATGTACAAGCCAAACGGTTTTAGTAAGTCTTCCTACATTGTTAATGCGAAATTGAGTACTCGGCGGAAATATCACTTCTTGTTCATCAAATATGTTAGTCAAATGAGAAATGTTTGCAAATGGATGCTTTGACATTCGTTTGATATCATAATCAATCACAAATAAAACGGATTGAAACCGTAGCTTCGAATCTGATACGCTCAGTTCAGCATAAATAAGAGCAACTTCACTAGATAATGAAGCAGAGAAAAATGTATTCGTTGACATGTACCCACCCACATTGTATCTCAGTTTTTGTAATTCTTTTAGGTGCATGCGTTGTCCTCTATATACAGTTAACATTGATTCTTTTACATTACGAATATAATCAATGTGAACTTTTGTTAGTTCTTCATAGATATCAATGATAAAATATCGAAAATCAAGTATCATGTCAACGTTTTCATTTCTAAGTGCCATATTTAATAAGCGAAATAAAAAGGAGTCTTTGGTATACCATCTTAAAGCACTATTAGATTTATATGTTGCCTCAAATTGATCAATTTTAGCCAATTCAATAGGATCATGTGAATAGTAAAATCGACTTCTTTCGAGCATTTTTTCATTTATTCTATCAGTTCTAGGTGATAGTTTAGGAAGAATTTCCATTAGCACTAGCATGGCAATGTCGAATTGATCGTTTAAATTTTTTATTGCGTCTAATTTCTTATCACATAGTGTAAGATAAATTATCCAACGTTCATTAAATCGTTCAACTGCGTCAATTTTAAATACATTACCAATGGTAAATAAAATTTCATCTTTGTCGTTAAAAAAACTGGCATCAGCGGTTTTTGCAAATGAATTCAAAGCCGAGTTTCCCGGAATAATAGTAATTTCGAATATAACCGATTCTAGTAGTGGATTTCGAGTGTCATAGTCACCAGCAAATAGCACAGCTGATTCACTGCACATGGTTGTTGAAAAAAACGTATTATTAGAAATATACCCACCAATGTGCCGCACTAATACGTTTAGTTCATCTGCGGTCATCAGTTGACCACGAAAAACCTCTAATACTCCGCACGGCGTACAGTTAAATAATGGCGCTTTAGACAGCTGCTCATCAATGTCAGCAATAATAAATCCAAAATCGAATATCATATCAATATTATTCGTTCGAAGTGCTCCACTTATCAAAGGATGTAAAAAGCAGTCTCGAGTGAACCATTTTATGGCACATTTTGAAGAATAATGTGTTTGAAAATCGTCAACTTTTTGTAGTTCACGAGGTCTGTCAACAGAGTACACTCTGCAGTGTTCAAGCATTTTATGACACGAATGCACTGATGGTGCAGGCATTTTACGAAGAACATTGATTAATAATTGTAAACATTTCAGTTTAATTTCATTTGGATTCAATATTCGAGTTGAATTACCATCTGTATTGATAACCGGAATAGAATCCTCGAAAAGACAAAGTTCATAATCTTCTCGTATTTTATTTATTAAACAGTTAATATCAACAAAATGTCCACGAACCGGATCTTTATAGTCAGTTTGATTCTTTGTAAGTAGGTAGAACAAAAGATGATTTGCTGGTTCATGAAACTGTTCAATGTCAAATTCATTTGCATATGTCCCGGTAATAATGACAAACACCCGTTCAGTATCGATAGATGAAATATATTCGATACAATTGTTAATCGAAGAAAATACTACTATGTGATGAATAATTTCACGTAGTTCGGTCCTTTTCTTAAAATATTTATCAACATCTGAATCATCTAACCATACAAGTACAGAATTATGCTGTGAAAAGTCATCGTGACATAGATAAGTGAAGGTTTGCGGATGTCGTCGCAACAGGTCCATTGACGATTTTTTTTAACAGGATTAATTTTATTTTTAGTTTATAATTTTCTAAATAAAATAAAAAAAGAAAACTGAAAACATCCCCAAGGAAATGATTACATTTAAACGAACAAGAAAAGAAAAACAAATCGCAATAAGAAAAAAGAAATTTAGCAGCACGTACTTTCGCTTAAATGGCAAAATTCGTTTTTTTCTTTCCATTCATATCTCGTAAACCCTACCAGTCGAAGAAGTAAATGACCATCTACAAAAGCATAAAGAAAGAAAAACGCATCAGGACTGCAGTTCTGCCGTGTTTTTCTTAGTAAGAAAGGTATCGTAGTACTTTTCTTACTAAACTATTACTACTAGTGTTGTCAGTTGGATGAAGAAGTCAGAAAAAAAACAGAAAGGAAAAAGTTTCTTATTTATATGAAAAAGAACTGAAATAGAAAACAAATATTGGCATAACATTACATGCAATCTACTATTAATAATACTTGAAAAACGCATAGATACAAATATCTTTAAATGTTTTTTACTTGAATTCAAACTCAACCGTTTCGTCAGACCTTTTGAATTTACGTAAATAACATTTATAGCCATTGAACCAGTTGATCTTGCTTGTTTTCTAAAGTCATGATAATCTAAATAATGTCGTTCTACTGGAACGGAACTTCGGATGGTTATCTAATTGAACTCTTTTTCATCCAGTATTCTGAAAAGAAATAATGCAAAAAATATGTTGCACGATTATATTTGACAGTTTTCACTACAAATCTATTCCCTCAGCTTTATTAAGCAAGAGCGAAGATAATGGCAATAGCTGCAGTGTTTAACGCTGAACAAGAAAAACACTTTTTCAAGGTTCCAGAACCAAACCGAAATGAGACATAACGGTGTTTTCAAAAATTTGAGATTTTTTCGAAAAAACCAGCGAATTTCAGTTTCTTGAATTTTTTTCACGGAAAACATGCGTTGGAAAGGCTAAGAAGTAGATATTCGTGATCAGCTTTAAATTCTGCATCGAATGATGTATATTTGAGCCACAAGAAAAAATAGTACTGTAACCTTGGATTTGTAGCGCCTTACAAAAGATGCTAAACGAAAGTTTTGCTAACTGTTCTAAAAATAGTCACGAAATACTTGCAGTGCCGATAATGATTCATTGACTGTTGACTTAGCTGGCATCAGCAGTGGTTCTCCTTTGACCGAGAGTTCTTTTGGAAGATTAGAATCGACTGTGGTATCTTATGGTACATTATCATTCGACCAAAACGAAGATTAGTGCACTGTAAAAAAATGCGACTTCTGCGATGTGTCTGCCGAGAAAAGTATCTTGTATGTGACTAGATTGCGTCTTCAGGATATTAGGTGTCTTCTACATTTGATTTTTGACCCACGTACCTCAGTGAGTTGATGAAACATGGTTGCAAAATTTTCTGCGATTGTGAACCAAAATGTAAGTAAGAGAATAAAAAAAACTTTTAGAAATCGGTTCATAGAGACAGAAATGAGTGTAAAACTGCGTAAAAAGTGTAATTATACAGAAAAGTTACGATTCGCTCATATGCTTAGCGAAGCGTATATCATCAAATATCTGCTTCACAAAAAAGAAAGAAATCATCTTCGTCAATTTAGCAGGAAAATGAGAGTTTATGCAAATAAATGCCGTGAAGGCCCATGTCCGATTATGTTTAAGAAATTTGCTGAATAACAGTCTTTAACAAGGGCTATATCCACTGATGAGCAACAACTTTTACAAGAAGTATTTCGACGATATTGCGGAGATCAATTATCTAACCGGCAACCACGATGAGCGCACTATTTAATATTTAAGGCTGCCTGACTATGCGCCTTTGTGAGCCACAGTGGCTATATCAAAATAAACTTCTTTGAAATGAATATGAATCAGGTTCGAAATAATGCGAGAAAAGATTTTGCTGGTTACACTGAGTAACGAGATGTCTCGATAATTATTAAAGAGTCTTTTATCATCCTTGTTCTTAAATAATCGGATTAATATAGCTAACCACCAGTCCTCCACCATTTCTACTTTCTTCCACACGTCTGTAAAGATCTCCTGTAGTCACCATATCACCGGTCCACCACCAGCTTTCAGAATGTCAGCTGTTACTCCGTCGTTTCCAGGTGCTTTCCAAGATTTCATTTGATTTAGAGTTCTTTTCACTTCCTCTACAGAAGGCAGAGCATCTTATCGATCTTCGTCGGACTTTGAAATGGCAGAACATGGAATTTAATCAACTAATCGATGATCAACAACAACGTTAAGTAATTCAGCGAAGTACTCTCGTCACTAGACGTGACTCAAGACAATACTCTTGATTTACAGGAAAATTGGCTGTAGTTAGTGCAAGAAAACGAGTTTTGGCGACTTTTACAGTGATTAAAGCGTTCTAAAAGTTAAACTCAAGAGCATAAAATCTGAGAAACTCGAAGTAACCTCATCAAGTAACATCTGTATTGTATTGTTTCGTTTGTTTTCTTTTCTTTCCTCTTTGGTGCATCATTGTGATAACTTTACTGTACAAGAATAAAATGGTTTAAAGAAGATCGAACGCTTGGAGTTGAACAAGTGCAATTGTCAAAAACTCTTAGTTAGACATTAGTTCCCAACCTAATACATCCTAACAGGTGCACTTGCTTAATAGTCTGATTATCGTTAGAATATGTTATTTTTCAAATTTTAGTGTAAGGATTGCTCATCGTCGTTATATATTAATTGCACTTTATATTTCTGCTGTACAATACCCAATCATTGATTTAATTTCACATTTGACTATTGCAGACAATATAGCTCATTTGTGCCATTTTAGTGGTTTAATGATGGGCTACTTATCTGAAGTTCTAATTTGTCCAGCACGTAAAAAACAAATTAAGATTATAGTATTGATGATTATCTTAATCTATTATTTAGCAGTAACTACACTATTCTTCTGCATAAGTGCGCCTAGACTATTCCAGGGCTGATGAAGAATATCAATGAGTTAATTATACGACATCTGCTAAAATTGTTAGAACACATTTGTATTTTTTTGGTAATTCTTACGGATGTGTTTTCTAGTTTTTCAACTACAGATATAGGATATTTGCAATTATGAATTGTTAAAATAGTCGTTTATATGCATGTTGTTCTAAACAAAGAAATAAGTAACTGCTAATAAAATAAAGGAAAACAGAGAAAACAAGACGGAAAATTCCTTAGTAGAAACGTTGTTGTGGTTGTTGCCGAAGTCCACTATTTCTGACCATAATATTACTATTTACTTACTAACTGTATATTACCAGACATTTTGCTGTGTTTATACGGCTGTTAAAGTTTCGAAATCAAAATTATGCTATGTCAAAGTACTATTATGTGATTGCTGAGAAATATATATATAAGAAATATATCACAAATATTTACATTTACCCAAATATCACTTTCAGAAAAGAGAACTTGTTTGTTCATTTATCATGACTCAATCGTGACAAACAATAATGAAAACTGATGTCGCTATATAAATAAAACAAAAAACCAAACAGAAAAATCATTTCATACAAAAAAATCATCGAACAATCTGTGGTCTTACTAGCTCCTGTTGTTTCATTTGAGCTTAGCATCCTTTTGGTTATTTTCTTCGTAAAAGGCACAAGTTACTTCCTGAAATCTAGTAAGAAAACTCGGGACTATCTGTATTCTTTCACCAACGAAGAGAACGCAGCAGAAAATGCTAACACCAAAAGCAACTGCGCTTATACGTATCTGCGATCCGTGGTAGAAATATGAGCCCCGATGGATAGAAGTTTTCCTGCATGTTATTATAGTCCCACAAAATCTCCCGAAAAAGTAAATATATACTAGATTGCATTGGATTAAAGCTTTAGTAGAAACTTAATAATCAACATATCTTCCTCCGTTCCACTATTGCACAGCTTAAAACTTCATGTAAACGACCATACAATTATAGTTTTAAAACTTGAACATGTACTACAGAATGAATATGTAAGTCGCAACTAATTTATTATCGAAACGTTATGTTACTCTCACTATTCACCTCCCCGGAGTGCCAACAGACCCGCCCATCTTTTAAAAGGATCAACTCGTGCATCATGCAGACTGCTTCGATTTGATAATACAAATCGTTTGAAGACTAGATCCATTACTATATTTCTTCAACGCATTTCTGAAATTTTTCCACGTACAAATCCAAATATATAGTTTACAGTATTGAAGTGCTTTAGCAAGTGAGACAAAATTCTAGTCAACTCTTCTACCAACCTACGACTTAATCGAGCTGGTAAAACCAATTTTGATAGTACTCATATCTTATGAACCTTTGATGATCCATACATGAAGACTGATTAGGTTCAAGGAGTTTGCATACATCCAATGGTAAAATCTCAACTATCGAATTACGTAGTAAACTAGTTAAACTATTTTGTTATGTGCTATGGAAACAGTGCGCAAGGGTTGAAATTTCGTACGATCAGATAATATTTCAAACAATTTTCTCATTACATTACTTCCTCACTTCGTTTGTTAGGTCGTTGAGTTTCGATCAAGGTCTAAGTGTTCCCTAGCTCCATTTTCTTAGCTGCTCATTATCTCAATGAAAAGAGGTTGCTATTGACCCGATGTAGTTCTGTTGGCCATTGAATATGAATAACCGTTTCCTTAGCTTC